CGTAATAAAACTCTCAATATGGATATAATTGCAGATTAAATTTCCAAAAGCAAAGATTATTCTGATGAACTTCGCCTAATAATAACAACAACAATAACAACAACAATAATACTACGTAATAAAAATAATACTTCCTCCGTCCCGAAAAGGTTCGCCAATTTTGACTTTCACGTGAATTAATAAAGTAAAAATTGTGTGGTTGAAATTTGTGTAGAGGAGAGAGAATTAACTTTAGCCACATATTCATTACTTTAAATGAAAATGACAAATCTTTTTGGGACATCCAAAAAAGGAAATTTGGCAAACCTTTTCGGGACGGAGGTAGTAATATAATAATGAGGGAAAATAATAGTGGAAAAAACTCTCAAATAGATATATGCTTCATGTACCGGTTGCTTTGGATATATGCTTCATTGATATTGATAGAGTATATGGAGAAGCTATTAGATATATTATTGAATATATTGTTCGAGCTATTTATCCGACCATACATAAGTTGATAAGGGCAACGATTATATGTTTGGTCTGGTAGATTCGTAGACCCAAAGTTAACAACTTCTCTAAGCTCATATTCACTTTCCTCATCTAGCTCAGCTAGCGACCTTTTATACGAAATACATTCTCCTGAATTTCTTAATAACATTACAATGTTCAAGTTTGCCGGCTTATTAGCTAAATTTGAAAGTAGGGTTCCTGTGATCCTTTTCATGAATATACATTATTTATCTAATTTATGCAATGGCACACGATTTTCCGGTGAATAAACTTGTAGTTCATATTATCAAGGCTCAGATGATGCACATAGAAAATACTGGTGAAAAGTTTCTTATTCCTTGACGGTAACACCATTAGTTGTTATGCTCTCATTCACTTTTCAACATAAAAAAATTAAATTAATGATTAGCTATGCAATGATTACTGTGATTGTCTTAGTCAAGTTGTATGGTGGTTGTCGGGGTGCCTAGGATGGTCTGAGGGCCTGAGGCGTGACAATGAGTGTCTTGCGAAATATGAATGTGCTTCAGAATAAAAGAGTCAAATGTTAAAGAATAGAAACTAGAATCCTACATACTCAAAGAGACCATTGAAGTCAATATGAAATTAGAAGAGTCATGTTACACAGGTTAATCTTTTATTGTAGAATAGTCCCGTTACACATGATAGTCTTGTCACTTAAAAGTTAAAACAAAGAAAGTGAATCACTAAATGATAAGGAATTGACTTGACCACAATTAACAAAGTTGACAAGCTTAGTAAACCTTGTTGATAAATAATAGGGCATTCAAACTATAATAAAGGAGAGTTTTGAGCCAAGTATGAATGCAGTAGGGTTTACAAGGTACATAGGAAAATATGGGTCGGGCTGCTAATATGGACCAAAAATTATGAATGAATTAGACTTGATGAAGAACATACAAAAAAATTCAGCAAAACATACCACCGGGAACCACCTCAAATTGAGGTGGCCAGACCACCCTCCTATCCGGCCTGACCGGATTGGAATACTACTCTATAAAAGATATCTACTGAACGCACGTGGGCCTTTGTCCAAGCCCAATACTGTGATACCGGGGTCGGGGTCCGTATACTCAATAGTAGTACCTCACTCCATGAGATGAGAATACTCGAGGCAAAAAGGAACAAAGTTATGTGCTGGCCTTCCATGTAATAGTGTGATCGATGCTAGTGTGATCTTGCTAAAAAATAAATTTTGAGATTTTCTAGTTCATGATGACGCAGAGTCTTTCGTTCCTCCAGCCCCCCCCCCCCCCCACATGCACTTGAGGCGATCATAGTGACATGAAGAGGAGTAGAGTAGTGAATGCCTCGTAATGAATCATCTAAGGGGCGAGGGCCATCGTCTTTTGTCCACAATGGGGAGATGCCTCATTAATTAAAAACCACATTAGAAAAAACAACCAGTGGGGAAAAATCCTAACGAGGGAAAAAGAATATATTTCATGCCCACAAAATGAAGTAAAAAGGTGAGCCCTTCGACCGATGTAACAGTCACTTTCTACTAAGGGAGTGGCTGAGACCGGTCTTCTTATGTGAGAAATGATCATTTTATGTGTCCGGGCTGGCTTGCCTCTAGCCTCATCTTTGTATAATATGTAGTCTTAGTTCTCAAAAAAAGATGACTAGGATAAATGTGATCTGTGAGCTAGTATGAACTCTAAACAATCAAATAAGATGAATATATTAGCGGAGACGATCAATGGGTTGATATGATAGTCCTCATTGGAGTGTCATAGTTGCTGTTTAGATTTGTAAAATTGTAAACACATACATACAAATAAAATTGTAATTCTAGAGATTGGAGTTTGCTGTTTAGATTTGGGTCTAAGTTGGTGGCCTCAAATTTCCAAACTTGAGCTCAAGGTATATGTGAGTTATGTCTTATGAATGAAGTAGGTTTACAAGGTATATATATGACAAGGTGGGACGACTGCTAATATGGACCTAATAGGCCCAACTCATAAAAGCCTAATCAAATACATACAAATAGATAAATAAAATGTACAAATATATACTCCCTCCATCCCATTTTATCGGTCTTACTTTTCTTTTTGGGTTATCCCAAAATAAGGTCACATTTCCTTTTTTGGAAAAAAATATGTAATCTACAACATTTCATTTTATTATACTCAAATCTTAATCACAACTTTTAGTTTTTCTACCATTTTCATTAATAATTGTGTCAATCCAAAGTAGAACATATAAAATGAGACAAACTATAAAGCGCTGTAAACGATATTTAATGAACACATGTGGGCCGCTGTTCAAGCCCAATAGTGTGGGACAGGAGGGCCGAGTTTATATACTTTATCACCTTTAATCTACTAACATGTAAATGTAAGAAGGCTGGAGGAAAATGAATATTGAAAAATAGAGGAAGACAAATGTATGCATTTATCCAATGGGTGTATACAAGGATTTCACAACATTACCAAAAGAGATTCAATGCACGTTTCGTTGGCACAAGTCCTTACTTTCTAGTTTTTATACTATTTAAAGTCTTTAAAAACTTCTAGTTGTATGTTTGACATGCTATTTTTAAGGGTTTTTTAAGAAATAAAAGATCTTTTTTGAGATGCTACAGGAAGTAGGCAAGTAGCATCTGAGAAAAGCATGTAGCTTTTAGCATTAATTAATCTCAACAACTTGTATACCAAACAAAATTAAATCAAATTGTCATCTTTATATCAAATCACTACTATCTTTTCCATTCAAGATCTTTTTGGTCACTAAAAGCTTACAATTACTAAAAAGTTCATAAAGACATCTTTTTAGCTAGTTGTGACAAACATACCCTCAGACTCGTAAAGATTATTTCAAAAATACCTTGAAACTTGTGAAGCATAAAATGCAAATATATATCTTCAAACTCGTGAGTCAAAATAATTCAACCTCAATTAGACAGATGGGCTGTAGAAAATTCAAGGGACTTTCCTAAATCAACGGGATGAGTTATGTGCAGTCTATAAATACAAAGGAATTGTTTTAAAGGTGTACAACTAAGAACAAGAAGCGCTTAAGAAGACATATCCAATAAAAAGAAAGCGGAAAATACTAATTAATCGTCTGACATTTTCACACATACGAAGTACATTTTTTTCCACTAACCAAAATAATGATTGAGTGAGTTAATCCATGAAATGGTTGACTGCACTAAAACTAAGGACTCGTATGTTTACACAATCAAACTGTATATTTTCTCTTAGCTTTTCACACTAAATCAAACTGTATATTGAGTAACTTTTGTTCTAAGCATGATATACTACCAATCCTTACAAACATCTCCCCCTTATAAATACATATTCTCTAAACGGTAAAAATTACAAGTTTTATATACAAAGAGGTCAAGACATTTACTTCTATATGGGACCACCAGTCCACCAATGTGTAACTAATAAGTTGAGTTTAATTTGTTATTGTTGTCAGTGGTAGTGTTCATTACCTTGATTAAACATACACATGTAGAGAAATTAAGAAGTGGGATTCATATGTTTCGTGGGTAAGTTCCAAGGAAATAGTATACCATCAAGATTATATCATTAATTTGTCTCACACACATTGAACAGACCACCGTTAAAAGAAAGTGTCATTCTATGTGTATTGCATAAGACCACCATTACAAAACTATCAATTTAGAGAATTTATTTGCTATATAATTAGAAAAGTTTGCCCCTTATAATTTTATGACACCAATATGCCTTAAAAATATGAGTATCCTATTACAATCGAGACATGATGCTCATCTCTCCGACCAGTTCCAAAGAAACTCTAATCTGACACCTGCCATAGTTATCTCAAAAATAGAATGCACGAATTGTAGCATTGCAACTGAAAGACGATGTTGATAGCACACCCCATGAGTTATACACGGATTTATCATGAGCTTGAGTTACCAGATCAAGCACTATGGGCCAACAGGCAAACTATAGCCTGATCTAGCTAATTGCCTTCAAAGCTAGATCAGGAGTATTTACCCCATAATACGAAGTATATAATGGTAAAGATTGAAGTGTATAAACTACAAATTAATATAGGATTGTTAAAATAATTGAGGCTTATCTAAGCCTATTTAATACAAGGGACTAAAATTTAAAGAGTTGACAAATTTGAAAGCCGATTTTGGATAAGTCAATTGTATGAGCAACTCAAAGACTAATGAGAATGCATTTCAATTTGATTGTACTCACTTCTATTCAGTATTTTTTTTATAATCACTTCTATTCAGTTCTAAACACTACTAATCGGACACATTGATTTACACAAAAGAGGCTTTTCACAAATTTGCTACTTGTAAACAATTTTATACACACCGTCTGTGAGAATGGCTTTTTTTTGTCGGTGAAGCTCTTTCACAGACAAACAAAACCATCTCACACACGTGTGTATAAAAGTGTGTACAAAAGTATGTACAAATAGAATATTTGTTCTTTTTATTTCTTTTTCCCCAACCAAAACTAATCCATTTAGGAGTTAGAAACCATGGGAGATTGGAGTACACAAAGTATTTTCCCAGTCATTGTGCATATCATCATTAACAAATGGGGTCTCACAGAACTACATTTGAATTGCTATAGCTATATTTAATTTCTATAAAATCAACACGTTTCCGCTCTGTCATGGAGATACAAACAAAAACAACTATGGAGGAAATCTAAAACCGATGTAATATATACATCCACTATCTCCAGAACTGAACTAAGTCGCACATTCATATGCTGTAGGTGAGTTGCATAACACTATCAACAAGGAAAGCAACAGACGAAAAAAAAAAGATAAAATGCACAAGATGGATGAGAATAAACGAATCCTTGGGGCTCACTTCCAGCAACAAGATATCAACAAAGATTATACAGCAACAATTAGCTCATTCATTTGTCTTCACCTTGTTAGAGGAGCAGCTTGACAAAAATAAGAATCATACCTACAGAAAATACACCATCCCAGAACATCATGTCTCAATCAATCACCAAGTCTCGCAATTTGTAATCTTAATGCAAACTTTCTGCAAAATTGATGAAGTACCCAAACCAAATTCTCTCCCTAATAGCAGATATAACAAATAAATGTATGATGGGTAGAAAGAAACACTTACAATATAGCTGCAACCAGTTTTAATCGCTGAATAGGAGAGAACACTGTTCACAAATTCAGAGGCCTGTGATGCTTCCTCCATTTCCGTTTGGTGGAGGCTTGAATTTGCCGAACACATCATTTCTTTCCTTATTGCAAACATGATCCTTTTCTTCTTCCATCTTGGAAACTTGAGAGTTATTGCCAAGCCCAACAGTCTTTGTTTTTCCATGGTCTTGTTGTGAGCCAATGACTTCTTTATTCTTCTGCCTTTTGTTTACAGTCAAGAACCCATTGGCAAAAGCTTCCAGTACCCTTGTAGTTGGAGGACGGGTTCTAGTGCTATGCCTCCTTCCAGGATGCTGCTGATCAGAAGAAGTATTGACGCTGCTTAACACCTTCTGTTCAAAGTGACTTTCAGGTTTATTTAGGCTATCAGTTTGATCTTCAGTGATATCTATTACAGAGAGTCCATTTTCGGAATCTGACGAGACTGGGAGCACATTAAGATCGATTAAGATCCTTGGTTGATGTTCAGCAGGAGACACTTCTGCAAAAGAAGAACTATTAACAGGTACACGTTCAATGTTCATAGAAGGGCTACTTTTTGATGAAATAGTTGTTGAAATTTTGTCATGAAGGGATCCCATCTGCAAAGCATTGTTTGCAGGCATGGTATTCATGCTTGAACTGCAACTGGACATTGCCACCTCCCCTCTAGAAACACAACCTATATTTCTTGTCGCAGTGCGATTACAAGCAGATAGTCTCCGAGAACGTTTGGAAACAGGGACTATATTGTTTACATAATCTTTTCTTACTCTATGGCTGATACAGGGCTTCACTTCCACCACTTCTATTGACTTGGCATCATCAGAAAGATCTTCATTATTCAAGACATTGCTTCCATGGACCTCTTGGCTTCTGAAATGTGATATTTTCAGGTTCTTAGTGCCAATTTCAAGATCAATCCTGCCAGGAGATGTTTCCCCACTATGTAAGCTTGTATTGGATCCAAAACGAATTGGCTCACTTTGATCAAGGGAAATGGGATTAATAGAATCAGGGCCAGTAGACACTTTATTATTGTCCTTTGAAGTATCTCCAAAATTACTTTGAAGGCACAGTTTCTTTGAAACTTCTAATGGCAAGCTTCTAAAATCCCTCACTTTGTAGGGTTTAGAATTACATAGGCTGGTATCAACGACTGTAAATTTCATGTCATCAGATTGATTAGGAGTTCTCGGTTGAAGATACAAGTGGCTTCTTATTATAGACAGATCATCAGTGTCCACCTTTGCTACACCATGCACTTTTCCTCCTTGGTTCTCGTTGCCATCTTGATCTTCTGAATCTAGGTCAAGCAATTTAGGTTCAGAAGCAACTTTGGCCAGAACATCTGTAACAGAGTCAAAATAGTGGGTCCCCTTGATGAATTTCCGAGAAAACTTTTTAACATCAGGCATAAGAAAAACCAAACCCTGCTTGGAGCTAGCAGCATAAGCTGTATTTTTAGGTTGCTCAGAATGCCAACCTCTTGCCAGTAAACGTGGCCAGACAGCTTCCCAAAACAAATCATTAGACCGTGTTTTGCTCAGCCGATGACCTCCAGTGAGATATTTGATAATTTCGGTGGGAGTAAGAGAGGAGCAAGCTTTGCCAGTAGGTACCTCCGAACGCATGGTTAAGGCATGACTGGACCTTGTATGTTCTAAGGCTACATTTGTGAGGTCTTGTTTTCCTTTGCCTATTCCAACTGCTTCTATAAGAGTGTTTATCCCAACCATACACTTCAAAGTAAAGACATATTCTTCCAAACGTACCTTTCCCTCCCCAAATCTTCTGGAAATCTATAAAATGACAAGATATCAGAAACAGCTTCCAGAAGAGATTTATAGCTAAGAAATATTCTTGCAAGCGTTGATTAGTCAAAATGGAACAAGCACTAAATAAAATAAGACAAAGGAGAACCATGAGGCGCTATAAAATGACAAGATTTCAGAAACAGCTTCCAAAAGAGATATATAGCTAAGAAGTATTCTTGCAAAGGTTGATTAGTCAAAATGGAACAAGCACTAAATGAAATAAGACAATGGAGAACCATGAAGCGCTATAAAATGACAAGATATCAGAAACAGCTTCCAAAAGAGATATATAGCTCAGAAGTATTCTTGCAAGCGTTGATTAGTCAAAATGAAACAAACACTAACTGAAATAAGACAAAGGAGAACCATGAAACGCTACAAGCTATTTTATTTTCAAACACAAAATGCAAAATGGAATGGAAAGAAAAATATCCTAGATGCCTCCTGGATGTAAATTGCATTCTTGGTTCACGAGTCCTACTCAACAAATTCATACCATTGAGTGGGGCACGAGAAAACGCTGCAATATAAAGACAACAATTTTAGAAGGTGAATGCCTTCAATACATGTAAACTTACTGAGTGTGCTTTAATCCATGCCACTGAGTGTGCTTTAATCCATTCTTCCTCTTTAGTACAAATCTACTCCTAATGTTCACTGGATAAACTACTATGCAAGGTATCAATGGATGCAAGGATAAAAAAATAAGAATTGAATGCATAAAAGCCATTTTATTTTTAAGTACACCAAAAAGGGGGAAAACAGATTTATAATAACATTAGAAGTAAATATTCCATTTTTCAATCAATCCTAATGAATAATAGTATTGATTGCTGATTCAACTTATTCCTTTTTTGCCTAATTAGCAGGAAGAAAAGGCAATTGGCTAAAATACTATATATATGTAAGTAAACGAAGTAGTTAGCCAAAAGGCTTAGTCTGACAAAGGAATCAGCGAGACTAACATGCTCTAAACCCAGGAAACAAAACCAACACACTTCACACATAGCAGATATGGACGCCACACAGACACATACTACTTTACTAAAAGGTTCCACTCATGGAATTTGGCCTTCTGCTCACATATAATGATAGCAATGGTACTACAAAAGCTTGTGAGCGCACAAAAGAGAACACCAGTTATCCTACAACAGAAATTTTACTATTTTAGCATGAAAAAATACCTCCGATAATTCATTTCGGCGATCTGCTGACATGTTGGGAAGTAAGCGAGATAACAGTTCCTGCAGCCTTGATCCAATAAACAGTTTTTGCCCGTAAACACACTTCCGGCTTTTGACTTTTCGACCGTCAGACCATCTACGGTACTCATCAGATCTATAAAACTCCCCATAATAATATGACATTATGTCACATGTCCTTTTCGTTTGAAGGAACCTTTTCAAGTGAGCAAAGTTTTTCTCAAATACATAGAGACCAAGAAGAAAAGTTTTCTTCTCAATATTGGTCAATGGATCAACATCGCCATCTGGAACTAAACAGGAGTCTGGGCATTCCCCTTTTGGCTGTTTCTCATCAATGGACATATTTTCTAATTTTCCATCATCCAAGATACTATCCAGTCTTTTGTTTGTCCTTCTTCCCTGGTTTGCCCACCTTAAAGGTATATGCAATCCAACATATGAATCCCAAGAGTTGTCACCATCAGTCCAAATTTGTGTATATGGTGGAATGTCAACCTGATACTCATCCCCCACTCGAGGGAGTATTAGTGGCTCCCCAGACACACCACAAGCATTACGGGAGTCAGAAGCGTGTATCTTCCCCGCAGCCATGTCGTCAATGCAACCTGCATTCAGATTTAATTGAATCAAATCCACTCAATAGAGAAAGCTAATAAAACTTTTGTATGCACAAAGGTAAACAGTTTAAAGCAAGTGAGTTTACGCGAACTAGATTCGGTAAGTTTCTTAGTTTCTTACTATGTAAAGGGACTAAAAGAATTTATGTTCTTAGACTGTTAGCAAATACTCCGTATAACCGAAATCAAAGAAAACATTACAAGCATTTTTGGAAAATTATGGAAACCATAAATGGCAAACTGAGAGCAGAACAGATCGACCGCCTTGAAAGCTATACCAGATTAGAAGTTCATTTTTCATAATTATTCTTACATCCTCGAATCCACAGGACTGAAATAGAAGGGATATACATGAAATAAAGTTTACCTTAAACTGATGAAACAGCCTGCTCTTTTTGTTCTTTACTGTGCCAAAGAGAGCTGTCTGAGGAGTTCTTACTGATAATACATGAGTACCACCGCTTCTTGAGAATGCTTCTCACGTTTCCAACAAATGGTATCGGAAATTTTTCGTCGGTCCTTCATCTATTTATTTCTTGAGATCTGCAATAACAGAGAGATAAGAACGTAATTAAAACGCATTAATGTAATTATAAAAACAACGGATATTTTTGTTGCTTTTAAGCCATACCAGAAATGTTATTAAAGTAAAAAATTAATTAAAAAAGGCTAAAACACTGAAAAATCGCTTCAAATGTTTTTTGCACATCATTGACAAGAGAAGAATTAAAATGTAAATCTTGAAGCCAATTATTTCTGGATAAGGAAAGACTCGGAAATAAAGAGCATCGAGTCCATCGCCCAGAAACTAGACCATTGAATTTGCATTATACCAAAATATTAAAAAAATGCACCGGAAGAATCAATTGCTTATAAATCATACCCACCCTAACCCCTTCCCTAAAAAAAGAAAGTTAATCTGCCATCCTACCCCAATTGATAACTTCTAAGATGACGGTAATTGTACTTCGAAGCTTTGAGCGCAAAACAAAATCTACAATTCCTGATTCCCTCTAAAACAGACAGATCCAAGTGAGAAATCACACAACAAAATGAAGATGGAAAACCAGACATAAAAAGTTGTGAGCAAAAGATGGACTCTTAACAAGATTGGGACAATCCATCACCTAATAACAGATACTCACTGATGCCATCACAACCAGAGTACCAGATCCACTTCAAGACTCCCCCAACCTAAGTTGTGCCTAAGAGATATATGAGCATGTAGCACAAAGATGGCATGCATACTAATAATAAATACAAAGAACTAAAAACAGCCACGTATATACAAGTTATCAAGTTACGCTTTGGAAGGATCTGGCCAGCGGTGAGGCACGTGATACAAGGGGGACTGAAGGCACAGATCATGTTGTTTTCCACGCAAAGCATAAACAACTTTTTTTAAAAGGCTAATATTTACAACTCAGCTACGCCTTAATCCTAAAGTAATTTATTTCACTATGCGGATTAGATTTCTCGATTTAGATTTAACCCCTATTTATACACATAAATGCAAACTCACATCAAAATAAAATATTCCACATTGGCAAACTAATGTTATATGACATATTACAAATTGGTAATATGCATGACCTGGGTTATCTACTCGGTGAGTACTCGGCGAGTACTCGCTGAGTACTCGCTACTCGGCCTCTTACCTTGCAGAGTAGCACCTTAACTCGGTCCGAGTTAATTTTCCGAGTTACTCGCCGAGTACTCGGCGAGTTATTCAACTCGGTGAGTTAGTCAAATTGACGAGTACTCGGCTATTACTTGGTATTAAAAAAAGACACGTGCAAACAAAACCTATGAAATTAATCGCTACTGGTCATCCGTTTGGAGCTTCGACTACTGATGCTACATCATTTGGAGCTGCGACTGCTACTGCCAGGAGCTCCGACCGCTAGTGTGAGGAGCTGCGACTGCTACAATGATACTGCAAGGAGCTGTGAGTGCTACAGTGCTACGGCGATAGTTAAAAAAAAATTCTTAGTTATTAAGTTTTCCGTTGTTACTTGTTAAAATAAATAAATCAATCATGTGATTATCCAAACTACTGTAGCCGCAATTTTTTACTATAGAATTCCAAGCTGTTAAGTTTCTTAGTTATTTAGTTCCTTTCATATTAAGCTTTCATTTTTATATTAATATTTCCATGGCAGTGTGTATGTTTGAAACTTTAGTCAGAATTGATATCACCTCTTTCGTATATTCCCCTCTCCCTTGTCTAATTTCTTATTATCTCCTCTCCTCTCCTTCATGGTAAATACACATTCACAAAATCTTTTAATTTATAGTCATGAACTCTGCTCAGTCTGCGTATAGACTCGTAGATATTGATTTAGATGACCCGGAAGTGGAAGAGGAAGAATAAGTGTGGAATCTGACAACTAAAGATCTATTTGGAGAAGATCTATTTGGGGACATGTAGGATGGAAGAAGGAAATCACGACCTTGAACCCAACAAAGATTAATATTAATATCAGACCAACTTATTAGATGATTGACTGCTTTATGACTTTTGTTTTATGACTTTTGCTACTCCATCATTAGGATAATCGAATTTCTATCTTTTTATTCACTTCTATGCATATTAAGACAATTTAAAGATTATTTTAAGACTATTATATTTCTATAATCTCAGGCACATATATTATTATATTTAATTAATACATGACTGAGTAATCACCGAGTAATCCCGAGTAACCGGTCCTACTCGCTACTCGGCCCTTGACCGAGTAGCTACCGAGTAGCGAGTTAACTACTTAGTGCATGACCTAAGGAACCAAGGAGGGGCAAGAAGTGCGTCGAAAGTTTGTACCTAGGTTCTAAGAGATCAGATCATTCAAGGTGTTGAATTTAGAGAGGGAGTAGGATTCACAAGAAAGACTTAGTTAATCCCTGTTTTACAGAGAGGTGAAGATTTTTTATATAAGCACAGTTTGTAAGATCTCAAGAACCAGATGAGTAGGGAAGCAACCCTGCATATCCATGTTTTTACAACAACAAAAAACTACGATCCAGTTTGAGTAGATATGCTAAGAAACTTACATTTTATATATGAAAAATAACAAGGACATTTGAAAGTCACTTAACTTCAAAAAAAGAATGATATCTAGATTATGTCAGACTGTTAAAGTGTTAATTGTGACAAGTCTTGTATTATCACTTAACAGTTTTGGCTGTAATAGAGGGAAGTGAATGATATGAGCTGATGCATATTTTAAGTAAACAATAGCCAGACATTTTGGTTCATTATCATGCTTTAGCAGAGTCCTTAACGGGTTCTCGCAGAAAACCATCATTCGGTGAGAATGCTTTTCATGTTTCCTATTAAAATTTTTGACCTTAGTGTTTAAATTTCTTTATTTGAAAAGGTTAAACTGCTTTCTTAGTCCCTCAGTTAGGCAGTTGTAACATTTTTAGTGACTTTTTGTTAAATGTTGCAAAAGCCATCCTTGATCATAACCTTCGGTGACAGTTCTAGTTATTCACTGATAACAGCAGGGGACTAAAGTCACTACAGATAAGGAACTAAAACTGCTACCAAGAAGTATAAAGTATAACATGGATAATTTGGAAAAAGTTAACAACAAGTAACTAAATTTCTACAAATTCCTAATTGGGGAGTACAGAAACAACTACCCTATAGAAATACATAAAATATTATTAAACACCAAAAAATGATGTTTGGAAATTGAAAAAATTGTCAAGGAAAATGATCAAAGAACAACAACAATAATAATAGGTTTAACAAATGAATGCCATGTGTATCATTTAAAAGGGGGTTGAGAAATTACATTTTAGCACGCCTTCTCAAGTATGAGCATATGTATGTCATAATTAATAAAAGTACTATAACAACATCTGAGCCTTAGTCCCAAAAGATATTGGAATCGGCTAACATGAATCGATACATGATATCAGAGGTAAAAAGAAAATAAAGATAAAAACATAAGATATGATAATAAAGATAAAGAAACGATAAGATAAAGAAAAATATATGATAGAGATAAAGACAAAAATAATACTGCCTGCTCCTCTATTTAGTTAGCTGTCATTCATTTTTCTGAACAATTATAGTAAACTTTGGTTAATAGTTTTAACATCTACTCCCTCCGTCCCGAAAAGGTTGGCCAAATTTCCTTTTTTGGGTGTCCAAAAAAGATTTGCCATTTCCATTTAAAATAAGGAATATGTGGCTAAAGTTAATTATCTCTCCTCTGCACAAATTTCAACCACATAGTTTTTACTTTATTAATCCACGTGAAAGTCAACTTTGGCCAACCTTTTCGGGACGGAGGGAGTATAATTTAGTGAAAATTATAAATTGTATACTTTTATGATAGTATTTTTAACAAAGAACATTTTCATATCTTTTTCATATTCTAAATACTTACATATATAAACATATTATTGGTCAAAGTCTAGCATCTTTGACTGGAAAAGTCAAAGATGGATAACTAAAAAGAAACGGAGGAAGTAAGATAAAAAATGATAAAAAGAATAAATATAAACTAAAAAGATAAAAGGATAAAGAACTTAAGAAAGATAAAAAAGATAAAACGATAAAAAAATGAAAAGATATCAGTCATTAACACGAATATTCATCCACCACTTTGCTTCTCCAAAGCCATGCTCTCATCCACCCCAAGAAGAAGCATTATGTGACTCATAAGCTTAACCCCTCAAATGATCTTCCCATAAGAGACCCCGCATTCCATGTCCCAATGCGCAATCTAACACTACCACCTTCAATTCTTAACACCACCTCGACCCCAACCATGCCTTCACATATTTGACAACATCCCCGCGCAATAGGGCGGTGACTTAGAAACCTTAACATTCTTATCACCGCACACAGGCCCATGACATATCGCTGACGTGACCTAGCCGTAGTGATATTCATATTGCGATTCAGGTAATATGATGTGACTAAGTGATACAGTTAACCGTCACGCGCCTATTACAACACCCTCCTCATTTGTCCTGGCTTAGAGAGACATGACACCAAAAATGATCTCATAATTAAAAAAGTAAAGCAAAAAAATTCAAACACAATCTACAAAAGCCTTTACTCGAAACTCGGAAAATGGCTTATTAATAACTAAATAGCACCTGAAAGTGAATAAGAAAGGCAGAACCGAAGTTCCCTGAGAAATAAATCCTACATAGCAACCCTGGATAGTCTCGAGAGATAAATATAGTGGTGTATTTATTTGAAGGATAAGTGTATTTACATAAGTGTCAAAGGAAAATGCTTTCGACATACAACACGGCAAGAGAAACAAATATAATTATGTCGAAAAATAAGTTTTATCTGAATGATGATGGTGTATGAGGCATATGTTAAGTCAATGTTGTTGGAAAACCTTCACATCTCATTCCTGGGGCATTAAAAGACTGTAATATCTTTTAAAAAAACTCACATAAAAGGTCATTGAAGGTGGCGTCATGGGTCAAATGCCTGTCAGAGATTTGTGACATGTGGAATGTGTATGACAGTGGCTCAATACCAAATGTTAGAGATAGGGCCAAGGGCCGCCTAAAAGAGAGGAAAACGATGGTTCTAGTAGTGATGAGGCAAGTAGATCGTTAGAGATGGTGATCAATGCTGAAAACTAAGGGAGAACCAGGCAAGAATGGGCATGTGGAAGGAAGGCATATTGGCCTACAATTCACATACCAAAGCTAGGATGACAAGGCAAGCTTGATAAATGATTAAACAAATGGTCATGAGTCATGACATTAAAACGAAAAATATGTAGTATGAGTTTCAAAGGTTTATAGCTCTGACATAATGTTGAAATTGAGGGGTTCAAGGTGTGGCTGGTAGTACCACACAACAACATCCAAGCCTTAATCCCAAAAGATTTTGGGGTCGGCTAATATGAATCGATCCATGATATCAATGCCAAAAAGAGAAGACAGACAAGAAAAAAAAAGGATAAAACAAATAAGCTAAAGATAAATAAATATAAGATAACAATAACATAAGAATATAATAAAGATAAAAGATAAAAGAGTATTTAAAAAAAAGCTAGAAGATAAACATAACATAAGAACATAAAAAGACAGAAGATAAACGATCAAAGAAAAAAAGGAGAGAGGAAAAATAAAAAAAGAGATCAATCATCCACACGAATGTGCGCCCTACACTTTGCCCTTTCCAGATCCATACTCTCATCAAACCCAAGAAGATGCATATCAGTTCTGATTCCTCTGATTTCTCTGTGTGGCTGGTAGTACCGAAAGGAAATTTTCCAACAAGGCAGAAACTACTTCGTCCCAAAACTATGTTCCTCATTACATTATTAGGATATTCCAAAAAGAAGTACCCATTTATACACAAAGAAATTTTTAGATAGGCAAACGCCACAAACTCTTACTTTTTGTTTAACTTTTCTCACTTTGACATAAAGTAAGGGTATACTTGGAAAGTCAAAGCAAAAAATGCATTGCATATATATGTGAATGGTTCAAACCGGGAACTTGTTTGTGGGATGGTGGTAGTATATAGCTATAAAAAATATTATATTTATAGTAACCATGTGTAAGTGTGTAACGATCCCACACCGGTCAAGTATGGGCTTGACCGGTGGCTTATAAGCAAGAAGTTCCCTCCTCCTAATCGGTCGGTCTTTTAGGAGTGAGTTCTACATTTGGGCTTATGGCACTGCTATGGGCGTAGTATGGGCTAGGTCTGTAACAATTGGTATCAGAGTCATCCCCATCTTCCTAGTCCCGACACTCGGAGTGGTGGCCTATGGAGTGGTGGCTTGGACCCTGGGGGGTGCCAACTGTGACCAACATAGTCGTGACCAACGAGGACGTTGGCTTTTTGAAGCTTGGGGTATAGTAACGATCTCACACCAGTCAAGTATGGGCTTGACGGGGTGGCTTATAAGCAAGGTGTTCCCTCCTCCTAATCGGCCAGTCTTTTAGGAGTGAGTTCTACATCTGGGCTTATGGCACTGCTATGGGCCTAGTATGGGCTAGGTCCGTAACACCATGGTGCAATGTGTACACTAATAATGATAAAAATGCTTATATAGGTACATCATGAATCACATACTAGGCTAGAGCTACAATAAGATCTCCCTATTTTCACACATATGAATACAACTTGGTTTTAAAAAAACAACTAAAATTGTAGTGAATATCATTTTGCATTTTGGTTTATTGTTGCCTATCTACCCAATTAGAGTATCTCCTTGAAATTAACTCTGAACTTTCATGTAGTCCTTCATTCCATCAACTTGCGGGAGATTTGCAGTGATCCCCCTAAAATAGATATCCGCCTAGATTTCAAGACTGGGAGTACCACAATGGTGCTTAAAGAAACACAAGAGGAACTAAAGAACAGAAGACCAACTAAAACAAGGACATTTAGATATACATTGACAAACCTTTATGCATAAAAGCATGAAGTACAAGTTCAAAAAGAAATTGAAAAAGTACTCAAAAAAGGGCAGTAAAATGAGAAAATAGGACTTGGAGAATAAGTTGGAAAAAAGTAAAATGCTTAAACAGAGCAAACAGAAAAGAGGGATATACCACAATATGAGTAAGTATTGTGCTAAATGTATGTGTATGTTATTGCAGATAAGACGAAAGTGAACGGGGAACGGCTAAGAAGTTGTACAATGTTCTTAGAGAGGAAAAACTTCATTGGCTTGCAGTGAGAGAGAGAGAGACAGAAGAGTGGTGGTAAACAATACTTTCTTGAGATTATGAGAAAGAGAGCTAGTAAACCTTATTTATACAAATGTGTTGAAAATCATAAACACATGATTGAAAGACATGCCACTGTTTTTATTCTCTATTATGCTGAAGCTGAGTCCACAAAAGAATTCTTACCAAGATGCTTCAATGTCAAATATAGTCTCTTCAGTCATATTTCCTACTAAATTTCATAATTCATATCATGAAAAAGATGCTACTTTATCTATTTAAAGCATATTTGTACAATCATCCATATCCAAAATTTGTCGAACGCACAAAAATTTCCTTCAGTTCTTTCAAAACAAATAACATGCATGTTGGTACATTTTTATAAAAAATACCTGCTCTATCCTGAAAATGATTATGTGAGAAGCCTTACTTGATTGCGGCTATTTCCATTTAACTTTCTGTAATATTCAATTTACTTTTAGTGAGTAGAAATGAATTATTGTAAAAAAAAATGCTCTACTATAGGCAAAATTGAACTTCAAATAAAAAAAAAAAAAAACAATGGAGCTGATTTGAGTAGTGATCAATATATGTATCACACAAAGTGAGACAAAAGGAGCATAAAAAATTCATATGCAACACAGTTTTGAGAACAAGCTGAAAAAAGAAGGAAAATAACAAAAAAAAACTAAAAGCTAGCATAATATCCCCAGAAAACTATACAAGTGAATATAGAGGTCCTTAAGCAGGAATAAATTTACCATTGATTGAAAAGTAAAAGCAGCACAACAAATAAAATAAAATAAAATAAAATTACTCTTTGCCCATCTAAAAAATAAGTCAAAATTATAGGTGTTGAAAAGTCCATTCATACCAAATTTTACTTATGAATAGAAAATCTCTATGTAATCTCTCGTAGGTTTTAAGTATTCAATTGTGTGAAAATTCAATATTAAATAAGAAATACTCTTGAACAATCAGCTTAGGTGGTCACCTAGGCACCCTCACGTAAAGGAAAAAGATAAGAATAGGTCTTACTAAGTGCTTCCTCAACTACACACCTAGTAAGCAGTGTTTTAATGATTTGTACTCCAATTTTTACAAGGTGTTAAACATAAATGGCAACAATATATTCTGCTCAATATAATTTCTTGATTAGGCCATTAATTGAACCAGGTGTTTACTGTGACCTATACATTCATAACATTTCTAAGGGCATGGACCTATGGAATGCAGAAATAGACTTGAATGCTCAAGGAGCACCAAGCAATCAGTGCTTCAACAATTTGTGCATTTTGAGGGACTCTTAACAACTTGAAGGCTTAGTAAATGCATAAATGGCACAGCTTAGTGCTCCTGATCAGTAAAGTTTTTTAGGCTGGGCACTCAGGCACTAACTTGGCACCCAACAGGCTCCTATTGGTTTCTTCTACATTTCCAAAAAGATATGAAGTGTTTAGTGGTTTATTTTTAATGTAAAAAAGAAACCAGGTTGCCTTATATAAAGCCACTTATGATGCATATATATAGGAACACATATGCACACTATCTCTCTCTGATATGTTAATGTATTTGTTACATTTTGCAGATATAAATGAATATAATAAGCTTCCTTGTGTTGGTTGTATAACTTCAACATTTACACTACCTATTATTAATTGGTTGAAAGGTGCTCATGAGCATCACATTGAGTCATATATTTAAAAAATAAAAAAATAATGCATTAAATTTAATAGTTAAAACATACTGTCCTAATCAATCACGGAGTATAATTTATAATTTTTTATTGCATCAGATATTCGTCCAAAAAAAGATGTCTTATATCAAGGGCTTAGTTTGTTCTGAAACACTAATATATTAAGTAACAAACAATATACCATAGTTGGAAAATTTTAGAACAGCACTATCTGAAATTAAAAACTAAAAACACAAATAAAAATGAAAAAGAGTGGTAATTTGTTGAACCTATAACAGAACTATAACAGCACAGATCCAGTGTCCAACAAAAACAAACAGCAAACTAGAAAGAACACCACAAACTCCACAGAGAGACCCGCTCACATAAATCCTAGCAAAGTAATGCAAAAACACAAATCAAGAACCTCATCTGGAGACACTAGAAAAGAAAATACAGAACCAACAAAAACTGGAACAATGTATATTACATAATGCATAAATATCTAACCAACCCCCTAAGCCATCGCCATACAGAAAATTTCCAAATGCGATCCCACCAAAACCAAAGTCCCCAAAGACTCCCGTTTCCACTGACTCAGTCGTGTTTCACAAGCAAAAAAAGGACCCATTGCTATGCACAAACATATACGCAAACATCTAAAGAGCACTATAAATTAAATATAATATTCATATGTAGATATTCAAGAATTGACGCGAAAGAAGCGGGACAATGAAATGGGTCTTGACTCTTGGCGGCTTGGAGCTTCTAATGCATAACAAAGCAAGACCAGGAAAATATAATAGATGCCACAGACATGTAACCAAATACTGCTGTGTTCATAGAATACCATATATAGAAAGAGAGGGAAGTATGTACCTGGGTTGTAATAGAGCAGATGCTTGATGCTTCATGGTCTCGAAATTGATGGGGTAAAAGCAAAATAAGAGGAAAATGTGAGACTTTTTTTTGTCTCTCGCTAGTCGTTGCGTGCCGGGGTACAGTCGTTGTGCGACTAGGGGTAGGGGTAGGGTGGGGAGAGTTCTCTTCTAAAATCATAAAATGGATATTAAGGAGTAATATCACGTGTCAAGCACTTTGTGGTCTAATGATATTATTGTGACATTTTTAAAGAGAATGTCACAGGTTCAAAATCATCTCAGTGTTGACATTTAACATAAAGGATATTATAAGAAAAAAAGAAAGTGCACCAAAAAAAAGTTAATACTAAGAGCTCGTTTGGAAACATAGAAATTGGCTGAATCGGTTGATTCTCTTGAAATTCATAAAGTTTTTGCTAAAATGGTTGGATTGACTGATTCTTCTTATATATACAAAAATTTTATTCAAAATTTTTGTATTAATAAAATATAGAAAAAATATATGAGAAATACTTAAAATAGTCTTCTACAATAACTTTAACCAATACAGCCAGAAAAGTAACTTCAAACTTACCTTTTCTTATTACTCCCTCCGTAACTTTGAAATCTTCCCATTTCAAAAGTAGGTAGATTAAGAATAGTGAAAGATGATATGAATTATTGAGGGTATGATGGGAAAATTGTGGAATAATGTGGTGGAATGTAGGATAAATCCAAAAAAAGTAGTTGTAATAGTGTATTATTTTAGAAATTATTGAGGGTATGATGGGAAGATTTAGAAATGAGAAGATTTTTTTGTTACGGACGAAAAAGGAAAGTGGGAAGATTTTTAAGTTACGGAGGGAGTATTAGACAATTCAACGCGCAAAATCAAATGATATGTGTTTAGTGAAAAAATTGGTTGTTAAGCTTGATAAGCCGAAAAATGGGCTCTAAGAATCTGTTTGATAATATTGAAATCGGCTGAATCAGCTGATGTTGTTGAATTTGTGAAGTTCTGGCTGAAATGACGGATTGAATGATTTTGCTGATTTATGAAAAAAATATATTTAAAATATATCTTATTAGTAAAATAAATAAAAATTATATGAATGAATAGCTAAAAAGGTCATCTACAGTGAATTCAGCTAATACAGCCAGAAAAGTAACTTCAACCTTACTTTTTATTATTATTAACCAATTTAGCACGCAAAAATCAAATGATATGTGTTTAATGAAAACTTGGTTGATAAGCGATAAGCAAAAAAAATTGTCACCAAATGGGCTCTAAAATGAATTGTTTTACACATTTGGAACCAAATACTTACGCCATCTCCAATGCAACAATATATATGGTGCATATGTGACGTGAAAGACAAAAATAATAATAAATACTTTGTATAATATTTTCTCGTTATTTGAATGATCTTATCAATTTTTTGGTAACTATTTCCAATTAATGTCATGAAAAGCATCAAAATGTATACATTGTGTTTGACAGCCTTGATAAAAATAAACTAAAATATAGAAGACTATGTAAACAAAGAGAGAGAAATTACATTAATTTAATTTTCTGTATCTAAATCTCTCATGTCACGTATACACCATGCACATTATTGCATTGAGATACTTTTGTATACTCCATCCATCTCACACTTAAGTTCACAGATTGACTTTTTAAGTCATACTTTGTTAACGTAGATTGTTAATTATTCAAAAAAAGTATTACTACTACCTCCGTTCCTAAAAATTCTCCCCAGTTTGATTTGGCACGCTTATTAAGAAAGTGGAATAAAGTGGAAATGTAAGGTTATCGTTTTGTAAGAAAAACGTAAAATCAATTTGAGACACACAAATTGTCTAAAAAGTGAAAGTGAAAAGTATTTTTGAGAACGAAGGGAGTATATACTAACAAAATCATTTTGAATGCTTCACTTTAATATACGAAGTACATTGAAATGTTTTTTACAAATACTTCCTCCGTTCTTAAATAAATGTAACGGTCAACATTTCACAATTGTCGAGACACAACTTTGACCATTAATATAAATGATTTTGTATTAGTAAAAAAATTTAAAAAAAAATAGAGTATGAAAATTTACAATGAAACAAGTTTAACAATATTTTTTTCATAAAATAATAATATTATTATTATATTAATAAATAAAACGTAATCAAAGTAGAATATGTGAATAGTGTAAAAGTAGAACATGTGAATAGTGTAAAAGTCAAAGTGTTGCATTTATTTAAGAAGGTAGTATGTAGGTGTATATTTTTACATATAATTGGAGTTTTTTAATTTCGAAACGTGCTCGCACTTGAGGGACGACCGACGAGGTAGTATATGCGATTGTTTTACTTACTTTTCACTTGATCAAATCATACACAGGTATTTTTAAATGAATGAGACCATTACGCGTAGTTGTTATGAAATGACTCCGGACTATGTTATAAAATTTTCATTTGTAACCTACTAACCTTTAACCTTTAAGTTACAATGTTCTAAAAATCGTTCTAGACGTCCGACTAGTCCCCACCTAGGCGCTAGACGATGGTTGAGCGCCCCGATTTTCGTCTAGGCGCTCCGACTAATTGGTTTTTCGTCTAGGTGAATTAGTCGGCCGCCTATGGCGCCTAGTTGCCCGCCTAGAGCGCCTAATCGGCCGCCTAGGCTGACTAGATTCGCCGAACATTACATTACTTTTTAATTTTAATTTTCCAAGCGATATACGTACTTTAACTTTAGCCATGAATATAAAGAAATGAAGTTGTAGATTAAGATAAAACTATACATGTTTGTATATATACCTAAATTTTATCATTATTTATACTTATAACATAATGAAGTTAAGTGATTAGTTATCATATACTACGTATGATTAAATGTGATAATTCTATCTTTCATGTTTGTTAATGTATATGTATATATATGTATTTTATACACACAAAAATAAAATATTACTTATCATATTTATGCAAAAAATATAGATAAAAATGCAATTTCTATGTCTCTGACTAGTCCCCGACTAGGCGTCCGCCTAGCTGCCTAGGCGCTGAGCTGGCGTCCGACTAGCGCCTAACGCCTTTTAGAACATTGATTATACTAGTAGCAATTTTCGGTTAATACTATTAAAATTTAGTGTACTAGTTAGTAATTGAGGTAAGGGTCAATTGAGTACATCAAGTTGTATGAGATGGAGTAAAGAGTACACAATATTGCATTTGATCTTTTTAAGTACACAAATTTGAGTTTTTAGTGTTAATTGAGTACACCCGTTAGATTAACACGTTAATTCGGCTGAATTGGCTAACAGAACGCTAATAGGTAGACTTTTTGAAGGTCGAGCCGGCCCCCAACTACTTCATCGACTTCTTCTAGGTCGACGTCAGTCCCCTGCAGGTCGACTTCTCCTTGGTCAATGCACCCCTACTGGCCGACGCCCCTCGTAGGTCGACCTCCGAAGATCGATTTCCCCTTTTTGTTCAACTTTGTGAAGGTCATCGCAATAACCTTGGTCCATTACCTTTTCTTACTCAACATTCCGTTAATCAAATGAGTTGTATTAACGTGCTAATCTAACATGTGTATTCAATTAACACTAAAAATTCAAATTTGTGTACTTACAAAGATTAAATGTAATATAATGCATGTACTCTTTACTCCACCTCATACAAGTTGGTGTACTCAATTGACACTTTCCTCGTTAGTGATTTGTGTGGAAGCAATCTGAGTATCTGACTGCTTTAGTGATAATAGTTTCCAAGTTATCGCATGTTCAACTATTAGTCTCACTTATTTTTGAATGGATTATTATATGTCTATTCAGGGAGCGAGGGATCTGTTGACTATTTGAAATATAAAGTTCTCGCATGTTCAACAATTTGGAATACTCTTGTGGTTGGCTATCTGTGGATTTTAATATAAGAATAAGTGTTCTTCTTTGAATAAAAATTACTAAAATAGTATTGGGGAAGAAAATACGTAGTATTATTAATGAATAAAATTGTACCGGAGTAACTATTTTTAGAGATCTAAAGATTAAAAAAAAAAGCACTTATTTACCAAACACTACCAATTTTTACTTTTTCTCGTCTTGCGTGTGAAAAGTGCTTTTCCCTTTTCCCAATTACACAAAAAACACTTATGTTACTAAACACTACCAACTGTTACTTATCAAAATCACTTTTTTCTCAAACACTATCAACTTTTACTACTAATCATTTTTTCACTGCATCTCCAAAAGTGCTTTTTTTAAGCAGAAACAGTTGTAAACATTCCCTAAAGAGAGACTATTAAGGAGTGTTTGGGGTTGATTTAAAAAAGCGCTTTTCAGCTTTTGGCTTAAAAAAAGTTGAAAAGAGTGTTTTCAAATGATAGTTTCTGCTTAAATTAATCACTTAAAAGCTAAAAGCTGGAAGTAGGTAGAAGGGTGTTTTAAACTGCTTCTCACTTTTTCTATTACACAAAAAGTACTTATTTTACCAAACACTACAAACTTTTACTTTTTCAGAATCACTTTTTTCTCAAACACTACCAATTTTTACTATTAATCATTTTTCCCAAAATCATTTTAAAAAATTATTTTTTTAAAGTTGAAGCAATCGCAAACACTCCCCTCCCTTAGTGTAGCGTATCGTTAGTGACCCAGACCCTCTTGGAGATGCCGCCACTGACCATGGTCTCTATCACTCATTCGTGGAGTTGAGATTTTAGAATTGTGAATCATATCATGCAACCAAACTAATTCAAGTCGATTCCATCTGTTGGATAATTCTTTGATAATGAATTGATTTGTATCTTTTATTAACGATTCAATAATTGTTAAATTTTAGGGAAAACTGTCAAATAGGTCCTCGAACTTTCATAAAAAAGTCAATTAAGTCCTTCTATAGGAGACTCTGTCTGGTCGTCGCGATTTGGGGCGGTTCCCGGGGGAATTTTTTGATGAAATTTTTTGAGCATCTTATTCATCAAGTCTAGTTTACTCATACCAAATTTCAGCTAAAAAAATTAATCGGGAGCGCATTCAAATTAATTCGAGAACGCAAAAATGCGAAGTTATCTTCAAGAATTAATTTGAATGTGTTCCCGATTGAATTTTTAGCTGAAATTTGGTATGAGTAAACTAGACTTGGTGAATAAGATG